ATTCTAAAGTGGGCTCATGAAACTGGATGTCCATGGAATGCAAGGACATGTGAGGCTGCGACAATACCATTGTGTACTGATTAATCTAACGATCTAAGAGATGTAAAGTTTGTATTTCCAAATAAGTGAGCAGTTATTGAATTATTTTCTAGAATAAGCCTGCTAATGTAAAGCTGTAAAGCTGAATTGTAAGCTGTATCCCGTCGCACTCCCTTACAGCTGAAATGAAGCTGGAGCAAGAACAGATAGGAGAGAGTCCCCAGCAAAGTGCTGAGGTAAATTACCTCCCATGAGGAGCTTCCGAATGACAGCAAACTGTGGAGCCGAAGAAACCCTTAGTGAAAATGTGGCCGTTGTTCCAGAGTCGGAATATACTTTGGCCACGATGCCCTTCGACTCCCCGATTTTGGACCTGAAGAAGTGGTATTCAATGCCAAATACTTGTTGCGCGCAGGCATTTTGGGAACATTCACAAGAGACAAGCAACCTGGTTGTCTTCGAACACTGTAGAGCGCACGAGACTGTCAGTAATTACCGGCATATTCAGTTTCTACCAATTTTTTTGAGCAAAGCTCGCATAGGAAGCAGGTCCCTCATTGACATGCTGAAGGCAACAATACTCAGCAGCAGTGGAGCTCAAAGTAATGTCATCTGTAGCTTGCTGGACCAGATGATAGGGACCCCAAACAAGTCAAGACAAATCCAGTGCGAGACTTGACGGGCACAGGATCCTGTCATCCTCATATCCATACAATCCGGCGAAGTCAGCATGACCCAACAATCAAGTCCCTGATCAAGTTTAGGGCTAAAACAAATCCTTTGTCACTTGTCCAATCAGATACCGAATGATACGTTTGATTGCTTGAGCATGGGATGCCTGGGATTGTGACTGAACGTGCCACCTGTGCACACTAAATGTGTGTCTGGGCGAGTGTTCGACGCAATATAAAGAAGCATCCCCACTGCAGTTGATAGCTCCACTCCTCTTCAAATGGGCCCTTTTCAGCTCCGAGAGGATCGGTGGCGGCAGGAGAAAGCTTTCTTGCTAGCGTCAGACATACCAGTATATTCGATGACTTTATTGATGAGCCCTTTTTGGTAAGCTCAACATTGCTCCCTGTCTTTCAAAATTAATGCCAAGGAATCCAAAGATGTCACCTTTTTCTTCCATGGTGAGATCATATCCAAGCTCTGGAGCTGCCAACATAGGAACTCAATCAGATCATTGTCCGGATGAGCCAGATTTGGTCATCACATAATTTAATACCATGAGTTGATGCCTTATGAATAAACAAACATGGGTCTGCTGCCGAGTTTTCGAAACCAAGTTGGATCATCCCGCACATAGATGCTCATAAATAATTTGGGTGAATCGGTCTGCCCATAGATGGATTGTCAAGTTTCAAAACACAGTCCTGTCCTTCATAATCTTTGGGTGATAGTACTGAGGCAATTCCATGTACAGTGGCTGGTCGAAAGGCTGAGGGCTTTGACAGAAAGCAAGAGTAAAATCAACTTGTTCTCGATTCCCATCCATGTGCAGCTGCAAAAAGAAGACCGGCTCTAACAGTGGCCAACCAACAAGTGGAGAGTACGCGACCCTTCATAGGGCTGAAGGTCTCCTTGCAGCACAATCTAGATTTGAACTTATTTAATTGTCCGTCTGGTAACCTCTTAATTCGTTGCACCCATGTTCCAGGAACCGCCTTTAGGTGTGAGGGCATAGAAGAACGTTGTACGATGTGCCAAGTCCCTTTGCCTTCAAGGCTGGCAATTCTTTGTCCATTGCTGCCAGAAATGGTCAGCATGTGGTCCATCAGAGATTCTTCAGAGAGGGGAGATCAGGGTCTTTGGAAATTTTGGCCTTGAGAGCCAGTGGGCTTTGAAGAATGCAGGAGAAATGATTCCTGGGTGTTGGTCAAAGGTGAATAACCATTCAACCTGAGATTGCATCATGTGCCCAGAATTTGGAGTAACTCAAAAGTCAAAGCTAAAGCACACTCAACAGGGATGAAGGACGCGCATATGTCTTCAACTTGGGTCCATGTTCAGAGTCTCAGGCTTCTTGCTGTGGGCTGTTCTACTGGGATTACGACGAGGGCAGAGATTGGCTCGATGTGGACATCAGTGGGGGAGTGCTGATGGTGGGAGGCTCCCTGTCCCAAGAAGAGGGTAAATTTTGAGTCTGAGGTGGTGGCAGACGATCTGGAATCTCCCTGTGTGAAACCTGGGGCTGTGCTGGAGACGGAGCTTGAAAATGAAGATCATCCCTTTTATTATGTACAGCAGCAGCCCCACATGTATCTGCTCTCCATGGACAACCATTTTCACGAGCCCACTCTAGAATTTCCAAATGGCCACCTCCAGCAGCGCCCGAGCATGTGCCGCCACCCCATGGACAACCATTCTCTCTTAATAACCATTGGAGCATTTCCAAGTGTCCATTTTGAGCAGCACATGCACTTGTCCATTGATTCCATGGGAATCCTTTTTGTCGTGCCCACTGCATGATCGTAATATTGCCAACTGTGGCAATGGCATTGCAAACATGATGACGAACAGGTTTCTTATTTCTGGAATTGTCCTTGAGCCAGTATTCTGCACGTGGCTGGTTACAGAATGTTTCACTGCAAAGAGTGTCCGTGCTTTCCGCAGAGCGCCTGAGAGAATACCATACGCAGCTAGCAGGTTTATCGTTTACCTTTCTTGGATTTTTGTTGAGTTCATTTTGCAGTACTCTTTGTACCGTTGATTCATCTTCTTGTTGACAGCTCCTACAAAAGCGTACTGTCCAACACCAACAAAGGGAAGAATGCCTTGGATGGAAATATCATCGTCAGCAAACAGAAGAGAATCAAAGGGAGGAGACATCTTCTGTTTCTTATTGTTGAGAGCACTGTTGCTATTAGCAGCAGACGCGACACCACCTCCCATACCAGCATCATTCTCAGCAGCAATACTATCAGAAGACAACATGCTACCAACGGGAGGAACGGACTCAGCAGTGCCAGTCGCACTAGTAGTAAAGTAGGCGTGGTTAGATGACATGATGATGGAGATGATGCAACGCTTTACAGCTACTACTATAGTTTGGAGGGTTTGGTGGTGTGATCTTGTTGGCTCCGTGGAAGGCACTGCCGAAACCAAATTTCAAAGTGTTGGTCAGAGTTCGCAAACGCCAACGCAGCGCAAAGCAGTTAAGCTGGCTTTTTGAACAGCCCAATAAAAAGCGGCAACGGGGCAACAAACTGCCATCATGATCCTCGCACCGCCCCTTTCATCACCCACCTCGGCATTGCCTTCAATTACTGAACAACATGAACACCTTAGCTCGAGATCTGTTTGCGGCTAAGGACGAAAAGCGAATTTCCACAGATCCTCCACCAAGTGGTAGCACATACATGATGAAGCTCCTGCTGGGTCGTTGGTCGAAAAAGAATCTGCGTGCAAAAGCAGCCAGCCATTTTGCCGGTTTCGGCAACGTTGGTCTCAGCTGTTGAAGAAAGAAGAAGGACCAGCCAGACTTTGGATCAGACTTTGGCTGCCCCCCGCTCGTATCGGGTCACTAGCTAGTAGATAGGCACCAGGCCAGGCAGCAGACAGGACTTGCAGCCAGCGAGCGAAACTCTGGCCGAAACATAGCTGTCTCTACTATTACATTGCCCCCTGACAAGAATTCTCCGGAAGACTAAACTACTATAAAAGCTAGAACGCACGTTCTGGGGACTCTGGTTTCTTTGGTGGTGGTCATTTATTCACACGCACACAGCAAGCAGTCAAAATGACAGTTTGTTGGGTTGAGAGTGTCGTTTCCCAAAGCGAGATCTCATTCTAATCCAGCGCCATAGGGATGTTTCAGCCTTTTGCATTTCCAATAAGGAGCCACCTAGTCAATGCAGGCAAGAATGCCAGAGGAAGCACCATAGCTATCTCTATTTCTTTGGCGATGGCTGCCCATGTATGACATTGTGTTCAATGGACCTTGAATCATGTGCCTCTAAGTCAAACAGTACTGTACAACTTATGCTATTGGGCAGGACTTGCAGCCAGGGAGCGAAACTCTGTTGGATCTCACGCTGCGCTGGCCGAGGTCACAAAGCTGTCTCCTCTACTACATGTAGTATTTCATTAAATTTTGGCCCCTGATGCATAATTCTCCGGAAGACTACATGGCTGCATACTATACAAAGGCTAGAACGTTCTGGTAAAGGTTCCAGCAAGCAGTGTCGTTTCCCAAGGCAGTGAGATCTCATTCTGCAAGGCTGCAAGGAAAGCAGAGCGATGTTTCAGCCTTTTGTGTTTCCAATAAGCCACCTAGTCAATGCAAGCAAGGCCAGAGGAAGCACCATAGCTATCTCTATTTCTTTGGCCATGACTGCCCATGACAATGTATGTATGTGTTGAATGGACCTTGAATCATGTGCCTCTAAGTCAAATACCAATTTTGGCAGCGGAAAGGGAAGATAGCTATCCCACGGTTGATGACCTTCCGCCGAGGAGATCTAACTTTTACGGTACCAGCCACTCCCACCCCACAGCACCAACACGAGCTCTTCAACAAGAGAATCCTTGTTGCATGACCATAGTAAAGAGGCACTATCTATAGGTCGTACATGTACATGTATCGTATCTTGAGCATCAAAAAGATGCCATTGCTGTACTGTACGGCAGTTATAGTACCTTATCGAGCCTTGTAGTTTTTTGGACTCGTGGGAGAATAAAGTGTGGCGAACACAAAGAAAAAGGTCCAAGACACTTCAATATTGATGGGGCACCATAGTATTAAATCCTCCGAAAGCAGCGTGCCAACATCGTTATATGTTCGGCACATTCCTACTTCCGTTCGAGTTTCATTAAGAGTGCGATGCGGAACAATGACCCATTTCAATTGTTGATAAACAAAAAGTATCATTGATGGTTTCGCTGAAGCTGAAAATGACCCAGCAGTTTGACGGAGTGCGAACGTGACCTTTGGAAACACAATCTTGCTACTACCACCGAAAGCCTCATTATTTTTCAAGAGTACCAACACCAACGCCCAACCATCATCGGACATCCGACATCCTTCCCTTCGTTATCAGATTAGGCAAGACGAGATAGAGTGCAGCGAGAGAAAAAAAGGGGATCGGTTTGCACAGCACTTAGATTCACGGAAAGACCAGACAATCAGTCAGTCAATCAATCAATCAATCAAGCAAGACACAGCAGCACAATACACTAGTTTATACCTCTTTGATCTTATACCCTTGACACTTGATCTTATACCTTGACCATGGGCCAGTGCGCATCGAAAACGCAACATGCTGTAGAAGCAGCTTCGGTAAGTTCCCTTACAGCTCACAGTGCCTGATGAGCTGGGCTACCAGTATGGTCAGTGCTGCAGTCAGTAGAGTGTCTTACCCCGTTTCTCTCTCTGCTCAGTCTTCTCTAGCTTGCCACAAGAAGAGCCACAAGCAGAACCAGAAGAGTCAAAGTCCAATAGCCACAGATCCAAGAGCTTCCTCTAGCACCAGTACCGCTGTTACCGCACCCCTTGCCGGGCCTGAACCATGCTCTCCTCCTCCGCCTCCAAGACAAACGACTCCAGAGGTTGTTCCGCCAGTGAAAGCACAAGCACCGGCATCAGCACCTGCGCCGCAAGCGGAAGCGGAAGAACCGGGGAACATGTCCGCCATCACCGCACTTACGGCAGTCTCTGAAGAAACCTCGGAGCGATCGTCAGAGCCATCTGATCATGGTCCTAACCAGTTCAACAACAGCAACAACAAACGTATAGAGCAGGCGCCTGTCCCTGAACAAGCACCGTTGCCAACTCAGGCAACTCTTGCTACCCCCGATACCCCCACACTTACTACAACGCCATGTACTGAGAATACTGATGCTACCCCTGAACCCGCTGATAATGCCCCCGCAAGAACAACAACCAATTCGGATAATGCTACCCTCCCCGTGGCAAACAGCCCCATGGCGGACGATTCTGCAAAGTCCATGGTAGATGACTCGGCCAAGTCCATGGTAGACGACTCGGCCAAGTCCATGGTAGACGAGTCCGCAAAGTCCATAGATCTACCCTCCCGGTATGATTATGATGACGACGGCAGTGAGTATGAAGAGGAGCTGGCGGCACCGGTGTTCAACATCAAACCTAACAGTACCAGCACCACCAGCAGTCGCATGTCACGACGACTTAGCAGTGATCATACCGGTACCAGTCGCAACAGTGCCCCCGCCATTCCCCGTGTTCAACGACGCATGAGTGGGGGACCTGCCGGCATGATGATGATGATGCCACGGCGGCCCAGTGGCAGTGGGTATGCGACCGAGGGCATGATCCCTCCCAACGCCGTCGTACCACGAGAAGCAGCTCAAGCTCAAGCCAGTCGATTTGGCAATCTGCGCAACAACAACAATAACAATAAGAACCTCAAACGAGACAACTCTTGGTTTGTCCTGGGATACGACTCCACCAGTTCCTCCCAACACTACCGCAACATGGCATACAACACCAACAACACCAACAATCTCGAAGACTCGTGGTCCGGATTGACCATTCCTTCCCAACATTACATTCCTCAAAATACACAGTTGCGAAAACTGACTTCCAAACAAAACAACAATACCAATCAAGATAGCATGACCGATAGTATTGCAGCCGAATCCTGGGCGGGACTTTCGTTGCCGTCGGCCTACCGAACACTCTCCACCGACAATGAATCTGTGTTGGAAAACTCCTTTGCGACTTGCACCACCCGCATGACAGCGGGCGGTGTCGACGATGAAGATCTGCTCAGTATCTACGATGCCAGTTTGAATGGATCCGTCCTTCAATTAGTAAACAACCACAATGGTGCCACCACAATCACGCCGGCTGCCCCGGAAGAAACAGAGGGAACTGTGGATAGAATGGTTCATCCAACAACAAAAACAAGAGCAACAAAAGGCAGAATCAGACGGTGCCAATCGATGGAACTACCCCCGCCATCGACGTCGATTCTACCAGTGCACCAAGAAGAAGGAGAAGAAGCAGGAACCGAACAGCCATCACATCGGAGACGACACAGTGGGGGTATCCTTCTGCTGGATTAGCGTGCAGTAGACACCTCCTCCTCCTTGTCACATTCATTATGCAAGATCATCTTCATATCTGGGTACGGACCTGTGCAGGAACTTTGGGGCATCGTCACATACTGGATCTGTTTGTTACTAGCTAGCTAGTTACAACCACTCGCTCAATCAGTCGTAACAATCCAATGGCTAGTAGACTAGTAGACTAGACTAGTTGCCTGCAGCTCGTACTGGATCTTTGGCAGCTTGTGGGACCTAGATTCGATTCGATTCTATTGTACTGCAAGTAAGTGCACGAGCACTTGGTGGGACTTAGCTAGATTGCATTCTACGGTACCGTACCGTAGGGTACCGCAACACCATACGATGTATCTAGCTAGAGTTGCTTGTGGACGCCGAATGCCGGCTCCATGCTCACTGCTGGCTGTGTGGGACTGGCCATCCCAGAGGTGACCGGAACAACACCAGCTGGCTACACTACAGTCTACTAGCTAGCTACCGTAGCTAGCTAGCTAGCTACCGGTAGCTAGTAGAGAGATGGCTGTTGGTCCTTGCTATCGCACAGTAGCCTGCTTGTAGCCTGCTTGTGGCCTGCTTCCTGCCAGAGGTCTTCGGAAATCCGCATGGTCAGTGGTTGTTTGGGTACTGGGATACAGTAGCCACAAGTAGACTAAGTAAGTTACGAGTAAGAGGTGATGTGCTGTGGGATCAAACCAAGGAGCCTCCAAATAAGAAGGTAAGAAGGTCATGTTCGGAAGTCTTTATGACTATGCTTGCTTGTAAGATCAACGGCAATTGGAAAAGTGAAAAGCAAGTCGGTCATGGACAGCTTCACGGATTAAGGGGTCTGTTCCTTTGCCTTCCATGTCATCTTCAAGAACGACACAATGTGATTTAAAGTCTTTCATAGGCACTACACCAGCCAGAAGGCACAATGAATCTTGGACGAATGGTACACATCTGGTCTTTACTGGGTGGAAGGATCTTGGGGCAAGTCACTTTTTCTTTCATGTTGGCTTGGCCATGGGAAATGGAAATCCTTCTGGCCCAAGGATGAAGCATTCGCATAAGCATATGCATAGACAGAAACACACTCGCCCCTTTTGCTCCCCATAAAACTGGAAGTTTCATCCTCTCTTATATACGTAAACACCAACCAACAAAAACCAACCATGGGCCAGTGCAACAGTTCTGCTGTCCAATGCTGTGAACCCTGCAGCAAATCGGGACAGCCTCGCGATATTCTGTGGCAAGGTGCTCCCGCAAGGCCGTCTTCTACTGGCAAGCAAGTGATCAAGACGTCCGTACTACCAACTCAGTCCGCCCACAGCAGCGCAGCAGTTCCTCGTCAAAAAAGCACGCTCCAACTCTCCGTGTCTCTGGATCAGCAGTCCGATCACTCGGTCTGCATTCGAGTCGAACTGCTCGATGGACAGAGTGTTCTGCTGGATACGACGTTGCATACTTCCAATACATCCGACACCACTCCGGCAAGAAACACATCCTCGTCTTTTCCGCCAAAGGAAATTGTCGCATCGTCAGACGAACCAAACAAGAGCCACTACAAGGATATCCACTTTTCGGTAAGTACTGCTAGTAGTAAGCAACGTCAAGTTGTGTTAGTGTGTAACGTGGTAGAAGTCTCATCCAGTTTCCTACCTTGCACAACTTGTACGTCCTTCAGGCCAACAAGCCAGAACCAGCGCTGGGACCACTCCAACAACTACAGGTGTCCGAGAGCTCGCTTCCCAACCTTTTGGATCTCAATAAGCCCCCGTCCCGAAGAACTGCCTTTCAGCAAGACGAATGCCCCACTGCTCGTCTGGCTGCCAGTGACGGGGCCCTTCTCAACACGGCTAAAAATCGACGCCATCCAATGGCCATTAAGGAAAACTCGTGGTATCACCTGGGGTATGCTTCAGGAATGGAAGAGTCTTCTCAGAGCTTGGATTTTGAAGGAGCCATGTTGTCGACCAGCAACAACCCCAGTGGTCACACGCAAGAAACAAAAAACTCCTGGGGAGGCATCTCTGTCAAAAAGTCCATGAACAGAATGTCTCTTTCCAGCAGCACCAGCAGCAGTAACAAGGATAGCAACGGCAAGGCTCAGTTCCCTCCCATTGACATCTCCATGAATGACATTTCCGGAAACACATTGCCAACGCGCTTTGACTATCAAGACTGTCAAGATCTAAATGATGACGACGTTTCCGAAACAGAAGACGACGATGAGATGGATCTCTCGTGGGACTACCATCGAAACATTCGATCATTGACTTCCGAACTGGATACACCGCCCTTTCCTCCCGGGCTGTCGCATACCGACTCGTCTTCCTCCTTGGGGCGTCGCACCCCATGCTCGGCTCTGTCATCATCCACTCCAGAAGCATCTCCCCCATCCTTCATCTCCAACTTGTCGTCAGCAGGCCGACCACAGTCGTATGCGTGTCGTCATCGACATTCTTCCACGTTTCTGTCGCATGTTGACTGCAGCACCAACGACAACATGATGATGATGAACAACCACAGCAACCGTTCGTGTCAAAGCGATTCCTATGTTGTCGTCGTGCGACGAAAGACGGACGAGTCCACAACCCAAACGTCAAGGCTGCCATGGAACCCGCATCAACTTCCTGCTTTCTAATACAGTTGATATATAATAATAGTATAATAGTACATTGTATGTAACACTAGCTAGGCAGATCATGCAGATGATGAGACATGACAGCTCCCACCATCGATAGAACGATAGCTACTTTGCTTGACTTGAGACAGCCTTTCCCTACCTTCTCGTCCTACATCACACGTTCTGCAAACATGACCGATACTTTCAGTGGCCGTGTGCAGTCAAAGTCAAGTCTTCACTTGCTGTTGGATGATCTGTACTATTTGTCTGCTATTTGTCTGATTCGATTCGAGCAGCCATCATGGTGGAGTCGAGTCTGCACTGTCTAGATCCTCAAAATACGAACCACAATCGGGTTTCTCTAGCAAGGCGGTGCGTCGTTTCTCTAAATAATGCTGGTGCGACTGGTGGACAGCTCGCAGTGGCAACAAAAGTCCTTCGGATTATCTTCTGTCGCAGGCAGTGGACTTGCATTGGCATAAAACAGACTTTCTTTCGCCTCAGTCCTCAGGTCGTTCGAGAAGGTTCCCAAGCGACTTTGGCCTCAAGTCTTAAAAATTTTCAATCAAGATGATCCACGCAACAATTCGTTCTAACAGCTTCGCTGGCGTAGGAAGTGCCCATTCCCCGTACTGTACTGCTACCGAAAAAGGTTGATGATAGAGAGGTTGCTATAGTGTTGTGTGTTACTACTTGGTTGTTGTGGTTGTGGTTGATTTCTAGTAATCTGGTAACTGGATAGTCATAAATCGCTACCACAGGTCATTTTCGGTCCCCTCAAGCTAGAGGGGGATCTATCTCACGCTAGATTGCACTTGGAATGGGAAAACAGACTTCGGAAGTCTGAAACAGGATGTACCCTTGGGGCATGGCCCCTTGGAGGCTCAGACCTGCCGTTCACCAAACGGCCCACCCTATGGTCATGTTGCCTTTTGCAGATTGTTAGTAGAGGACTTTCGAAACCAGTCGCTGCCTCACAGGCCCGTTCTGGATCTTCGTCAACATATCGGCCAAATTGCTCTCTGTATTCTCATAAGTGATGTTTGCCATGCCTGCAGCGACTCTTTCACGGACAAAATGGTAAGCGACCGAGTTGCTCTTTTTCTTCAAAGTAGACTCCGGAATACTCGAGTTCTTGATCACGGACATGTTGTCCGCCTTGACGTGGGCTGGACCGTCGAGAGGGACTCCCATCATCCTGAGCTTGTACCGCAAGCCTTCCACAATCTCGATTCCAACCTTCATCGCCGCGAACTCAGATCCAAAGGAGGAAGTTTCAATGGAGCCCTGCTTCTTGCTGTACCAAATAATTGGAGACATGTTAGCAAAGACAAGTACACCAGTACGCGAACGACGTGTCACCTTGTCCCAGCATGGTCAGAATCCACAAACATGGTGATTTGGATTGGTTTGCCGAGAGGCTTCGGCATGTCTGGAGGCAAAAGCTCTTTCGCATCGGCATAGAAATCGCTCCAGTCAGGTCGCTCTGGTTCCACATGATTCACATAGGAAGGATCAAAAACAAGGTGAGAACGACTGTGCTGCTTGAGATATGCCAAGATATGAAACACAGCGTCCAGGTGCCAACTCGTGGGGCTGCACAGTACGAAGCCATGATTGAAACTCGGTGCAGATGTCAATCTCCCGAGTTCCACGGCCATCGTAGCACTCCAATCTGCTGTTGAAAGTAATTTGTCCACTCGTCATCACAAAGGTTTAAACATCCAACTCCGGGGTGTATTGCTCGGTAACACTGAAGTTGCTTTGACTTGAGCGTCTTCCCACGTCGCTCGAGCCATGTCTCCACATTTCTGACAGCTTCCTTGACATACTGTTCAAATCCCATTGACCAACATGGTTTGTCAACCCAGGGAGATTGTACTCCTTGACTGAAGCTCCAAGATACTAGTTGGCTTTCCCAGGGATCCTGGCTTCAGCAGGAAATGCTGATCCAGGTAGCAGAGTAAGGTATTTGGTTAGTTGACAGGCAAAGGAGATCATCTGTGTATACCAAATATACTCATAGTATTCCCTTCCGTCAGGCCTGGTGGCGCACGGAACAGACATCATTGTCTGCCTTACAAGAGGGGAACCCCAGGTTGTCTCGCAGAACATCAGCTAAGTGGCCCTCCATGCTGCTCCACTTGATTTGAGGCCATACAGGGCCTTGACGACCTTGTGCTTTGCGTCCCTCAAATGGGCCAAATTCTTACCGCATGTGATAAAGATCTTCTCTCGAACTGGGCATTCAAATATGCATTGCCAATATCAGCGGCCAAAATATCCAAATCGTTCAAGGCTGCAATCAAGAAGGCCAGTCGTACACTCTCTCGACTGACAACGCTGGCGTAGTGATGGACGAAGGTGGATCGGTCATATGCCCCCCAGCACCAGACGTGCCTTCCTTGTAAAGTCGCTCTTAACATCAAAAACCATATGACAACGGATGTGAGTATTTCAACTGGATCAGGGGCATCCTCTTCCAAGATCTCAAAAGCTTTGCCGACGGCGCCATCTCTTTCTTAATGC